TGCAGTGCAGTGGTTCTCAACCTTATACCAAATGCCTCCTTGACCATCCTGAAATGAAACTGATAGAAAATAAAACTCACACACGTCCAATTTTTGTTTAATGTATAAGAATCTGTTTGGGATGTAAGAGAAATTACAAACAGTTATTATTACAAAGGAGAGACTCATGGTGCTCTAGGAGCATGTTACAGCTGGCCTCCGTTTACAGAAGGCGTGTGTGTTGGCCTCCACACTCTCCGGAAGCATCACTAAAATGAACGCAAAGCAAAGAATTTTTTATAAACTATAAAAACTAAAATAAAAGTAACAGAAGAAAGAAAAAGGAAGGAAAAAAACACAATAGCAAAAAAAAAAAAAAAAAAGGAAATGAGGGGGCTGGAAAACAGAAAGGTGTGTGGTGTCCTGCTCAGCAGACCCAGGAGAATTGAACACGAGCCCAGGATTGGGAAGGTCGAGAACTAACTTGGTGCAAACTGCAGAGTCTCTAAAGGCTGAGGAAAGGGCACAGCCAGGACCCTCTGGAAGAGCTAAAAACCAGAGATACGATTCAAAGTCTGTCTGCGTAGCAGGAACACCCCTTACTGACCCCTCACTCTGAGGCTGTCCCTCCCTGCCCGGTGGAAGACGGGAGGTTTATTCTCTGGAAAGAGTGAGGCGGAGGTCCCCGTGGGGGGCCAGGCACGACTGAGGGATGCCTGAGTCCAAGCAAGGGAAGGTCGTGTGAAGTCGCCCGAACTGCCGAGATGCAGCCTCCCACACATGTGGCTCTCAGAGGCCGGCAGCCAGGCCTCGTCCATTCAGAGCAGGGTCCCCAAGCTTTTTGGCACCAGGCTGGTTTCATGGGAGACAATTTTTCGACAGACTGGGGGTGGGGGGAAGACAAGTGAGGGGGAGCGGCTGTAGGTATAGATGAAGCTGCGCTCACCTGCGGCTCACCTGCTGTGTGGCCTGGTTCCTAACAGGCCACGGGCTGGTACCGGTTCATGGCCCGGGGTTGGGCACCGCAGATCTAGACAGAGCAGAAAATCCAAAATCCACTCACTCCAAAAGGAAAGACCAAAAGACACAAAACTCAAGATACTGTTGAGTTTTTCCCAAACAATACAGCACATCCAGACCATCCTACAGGGGACCTCATGGTTATGAGCCATGCTACGCACCCAACACTCCACTCAGCCTTTGAATATCCAACCGCTAAATGAAGCAGACGGCCAAGGACCGGCTGACATTTGAGGAAGCACTTCATATGAATAATGGAGGCCAAGGCAAGCAAACCAGGAATAAAAAATGTAAAGGAAAAAAGGAAGAGAACTTAAAAAAGACTATTACCAATTTTCTCAGGAAAAAAAAAAAAAAGACAAGATATTTTACCCATGAAATGCAAACAGCGTTTTAAGAGAAGTTTTTCTGAGAACGACAATGTGCTTCAGAATTCAAATATGATAGAAGAAAAGGTTTTAAATCTCTAGAAGATTTTGAAGTTAAGTTGAGGAAATAGCCCAGAAATTATAGCAAAAAAAAGAAAGAAAAACATAAAACAAAACAAAACAAAAAAAAAAGGAGAAAAACACAAGAAAATTATGAGACCTAATTGAGAGTCCATAAAAAACTAACTGAAAAAGTAAAGAAATTATGCATATAAGTTTCCCAAATCATAAAATGAGTTTCCAGATTAAAAGAGTCCCAGGATAGTTAAAATAATGTTATCGCAAAATTTCAGAATACTGGAGGCAAGGATACGAATCCGACTGAGTTTAGTGTTGTCAAGAGCGATACTAGAGGATAGAAGAAAGAAGAACACCTGCAACATTTCGAAGGAAAACTATTTCTTACCTAGACTTCTATACTCAGCCAAGTATCAATTAAGCATGAGAGCACAATGAGGACATTTTCCAAGATGCAAGTTTAAAAAAAGGAAAAAGGCCTCCCCTGCATTCTTTCCTGAGAAGCTACGGAGGAAGTCCTTCTCCAAAAGGGAGAAGTCAACGGACTCCTTAAGAAAGAGGCACAGAAACCACGCTATGATGGAAGACGATGCTCTAGAACTCTCCAGCCTTGTTTTGTGTCTGTACGGAACAGAAGGCACAAAGCTGAGCAGAAGACCTGGAGGTCACCAGTCTATGGTGACATAGGGGCCCTCCACTCAGCTCTCCCTTCTAGAGAGAACCTGCTCAGAGGAGAGGAGTCAGTGCTGCCTCCAGCTGCCATGGCTCCCAGATTCGCCAAGCATCCACATCGAGACCATCCTCTCAAGAGGCTGCTCCCAGGCAACACCTGAGCTTGCTGGGGTTCCTAGAGTTGGACCACTCTGCCCAAGGTGGGGTCCTCTGATGAGGCTCCAGATTGGCCGTGCCAATCTGTTCCTGCGGTTGTTCCTCCCCAGGCCTCCTTCCTGCCCCCTCTCCCCTCTCAGGTGTCAGACCTGCATCCCGTGTGAATGCTCTGCTCGCCGCCTCCTGCTCCCTGGTCCCTCAGTCTTTCCACGGGTGTTTCCTCCCATAACTCTCTTGCCCTTCAAATCCCATCTTGGTGTCTGCTTCCCAGACCACCCAAACTGACACAAATCCAAAATAGGTGGGAAGTCTCCTTGAAAAGTTTCTTCAAAGCTGGCCACTGTGGCTCACACCTATAACCCTAGCACTGTGGGAGGCTGAGGCAGGAGGATTGCTTGAGGCCAGGAGTTCAAGACCAGCCTGAGCAAGAGCGAGACCCCGTCTCTACTAAAAATAGAAAAATTAGCCTTGTGCACACCTGTAGTCCCAACTACTCAGGAGGCTGAGGCAGGAGAATCACTTGAGCCCAGGAGTTTGAAGCTGCAGTGAGCTATGATGATGCCACTGCACTGTAGCCTGGGTGACAGAGTGGCACCCTGTCTCAAAAAAAGAAAAAATTTCCTCAAGAAGACAAAATTATTAGAATACCCAATGTGTTTGATTTTATTAAGTAATATTAACACAGGTGGCGGAGGGCTGGGGATAATTAGTGATAAATATGCAGACCATTAGCCCCCTACAAAAGGCAGTGGCTAACCAAGGGGGCAAAACCTAGTTGACTGTTAGCACATCACTCGGCTCCACGCAGCCTGGCGATAGTGCGCACTGACCACTCACCTAACCAACGTCACAACTCATGACGGAGAAGGGGAGACAGGCAGTGTCCTTCACTGTGGTGGCGGCTGGTCGTGCAAGCAAACTAAGCCCTCATCGTTCGTACCCAGACACCGGCGGAGGCTGCCTAAGGCAAATAAAGACGTGGCCACGTAGGTGTGCTGGCTGAAGCTGCTAGAAATAGTCACCTCTGGGCTGCAAAAAACAGAGGAGAGGGTGGCTTAGGGAACTGCTGCTTTTCATTAAAAAACCATAAAGAAATATTTAATTCTTAAACTATGAAATATTTGAGCAACTGATGCAAGGTCGAGGTGGCTGGAGAGTCACAAACAACAGAAGGAAAGCACAGCCTGAGCCTGGACGGACAGGTGGGGACGCGCAGGGCCTTGGCAGCCGCGCCGTCCTGGGGCCCTACCTTAGGAACTCTGGGACGCTCCTGCGGAGGGCGGCCTGTGGAGGGCGGCCCGTGGAGGATGTCTCCGATCCGTGTGTGAGCAGACACCGTCGAGGGTGCTGCGCATGCAGAGCGAGACGGGAGGGCAGGGTGAGGGAGAAGAGGCCGTCCCGGGTGACGCAGGTTGCTTCCCTGAGGCCCTGGGGGACGCCAGGAAGAGCTGATTCAGCTTATAAACACCCACCGAGGAGCAGCGGATTGAGCGGATACCTTCAGTGTTTGTGAAGATGAGTTTGAGTTGTCTGAACGTTGTCAACAGAAAAGAGGACGAACCCTGCAAAATAATTTAAAGAGGTTTATTCTGAGCCAAATTTGAGGACCACGGCCTGGAGCCCAAGAAGCCTCGAGCAAGTGGACTCGCTGTGGCTGCCTTGCAGTTTGGATTTCTACATTTTACGGAGAGACAGGGCTTACAGGTAAAGTCATAAGTCAATACATGGAAGGCATCCATTGGTTTGGCCCAAAAAGCTGGGACATCGAAGTGGGAGCCTTACAGGTCATAGGTGGGTTTAGGGATTAAGGCAGGACACCTCAAAGCGGGGGCTTACGAGTCATAGGTGGATTTAGGGATTCTTTAGTTGGCAATTGGCTGAAAGAGTTAGGCTTTGTCCAAAGACCAGGAATCAGCGGAAAGGAATGCTTGAGTTAAGATAAGGGCCTTCTGTCTTTCACGTGATGCTATACCGGAATTGGGTCGGGAAATACACCTCATCATAGAAACCTGTTCACTGAGATTTTATCCTTTGTAGGTGTGACTCCCCAGGCCCCCTTGGAAAGGAATTTGTGCAAAAGAAAAAGATCAGAGTTTAGTCCTCAAAGCCATTTAGGTGAAAATGTCAAGTGGGCAGTTGGAATCACAGGGCCGGAGGATCTGGCCTAGACATGCTATAGGTAAGAGTCATTAGCACACAGACTGATGGCCACGAAATCCCAGCTCAGGGAGCAGATGGCATGGCCTAGGAAGAGAGCTTGGAGTGAAAACACCAGGGCAGAGCCCTGTGGACCTCTGCAGAGCCCAGAGCAGACAACAGAGACAAAAGGAGGAGCTAGCCAGGCAGGAGAGGACCCGTGGTGTGTGCACAGGGGTGGGGGCTGCGTGCAAGCCACTCATTCCACGTTGTCGTGTAAATCAGATATCCAAATGGAACCACCTCAGGAAGGAGTTCAGCCCGGCAGAGGCAGGAGATAGAGTTCCCGCCAAGCTACAAGGGGGTGCTCAAATGATGCAGAAAAATAAAAGAGAAACGGGGGAAGCAAACTCGTTGTGACAAACAAGAAATTCACTAAACTTCTGGGAGTTCTGACACCTGCCTCACCCACCTGAGAAACTGTTAGAACTAATGGCTTTAGAAGAAACCCTTTGATGCATAACGACCAGATAGTGTGATTTCTTAGGCTTTCGTCACTCATCTGAGCAGATTGATGCAAATTCTCACATGGCTTCCGCTTAGCCACTGAGCTGTGTCATTTCTGGGTGGTTCCCCCTACCCGTTGGTGGCCTCGGGTGTGTGCTGTTAGAACCCCGTTATGCCACGATGGCCTATCGCATTCTGTGACTGAGGTCTTTCCAAGTGCTGAAACCACTTCCTAAAGTACAAGAAATGTGATGTTTTTCTGCTCAGGTAAAATGCAAAATATAAACAAGCCCTCTGGAAAGGAAAACTGAATCAAGTTATGCCAAGTTGGAATGCCTACTTTAAAAGTCTGAAAATAACAACATCTTTGTTGAAAGGGTCTAAACTGTTATTTTTCTCCACAGCATCAAAAATCATGATGGGAAGGTATTATACTTGTTTTACTCTAGCAAAAAAAAAAAAAAAAAGTCAATGAACCTCAGTTCCATGTCTTTGGAAGAAACATTTGGGTGTATGCTGAATATATTCTGCATGTTGCTCTGATTGCTATTGATGCTAACTAAATAAATAGTAAATGCCTCAAAGTTTTTTTAAAAAGAATGTTTAATGCTAATGAATGCTAGCTCCTAGGAGACAAAGTGGGGCATTAGAAAAATCACAGAAGAGTGTTTCGACTACATAGACTACAGTTCATATGGTTATCTACTGCAATTAAAGAAAATACTTCTTTTATTTTTCCAAAATTAAAAAAAAGACTGTTCCAAAACAGTGCTGATTGAACAATGCTTTGGAAAAAAAAGAACTTACAGGAATTTTTTTTTCTCTTTCATCTCTTTCTTCACTTCTTCGTTTGTATCACTGCATTTTGATTGCTTGAGAATATAGGGTGAGAGGGTGGCTGAATCATACCCGAAGCTCAGCTCTCCAAGAAAACACATGTGCTTTGGTCTGAGTCCTTGGTTGCAAAGAATAAAAATGACTCCAGCAAACTTATGCAAATAAGCAATTTATTGGAAACATATTGAGTGATTCAGGGCATCAGAAAACAGGTAGCAACCAAAGGAGGCCGGGCAGCCGGGCTTGCCCCCGTGAAGGCTGCCACTGGCCTTAGCTGGCACATACCAGTCACTTCGCACCTTTGATTGGTGTTCTCAACCCCATCCTGCCACAGTGAGTAATCTCTGGCTGCCCGGAATCTCTGCTTCCCCCCTCGAGATTTAAAGTTCTTGGTGAGAATGTCTAACTGGCCCGGCCTTGGTCAGTGGCTCACACTTTGGACTCCAGGAAGGAGAGAGACAGAACAATTTCCCCTCTTTGAGGTCTGTGGAGGAAGACAAGGCCCCGCCTCCAACAGAACTCACATAAGTGGGCATTCCCCCAACCAGAAAGGGAGTTGCAATGCTGGGCAGCAAAAAAAAAAGATACAAGATCACCATAGCAGTGTTTTTTCAAACGTTTTTTGACAGCAAGTCCTAGTAAGAAATACATGTTACAGCATACACACTCACACACACATATAAATAAAAGTTTCACGTGAAAATACTTGTCATTACTAATAATACCCACCACCTCCTGTTCTGTGAGGGATACACGAAAAACTCTAGGGGTGCTTGGCACATAGACGATAACGCCAGTGACATCCCTACAGTGTGCAGTGTGCACAACCTGTACAACCATACCCAGCGGCCCTGTGTGCCATGCGTTTGGTTCTATTTTGTTCTATTTAATTTTTTTGTAAATGCTCATTGCAAATGACTAAATTGACGTTGTAACCCCCGAATAGGACTCAACCCCACAGTTTGAAAAACACTACCTTACACTATGCTTAGGGCAATGGGTTAGAAATATCTGAACCCCTTTAGAAGTCCATTTCTAGTTTAAGAGGTTCTCTGACAATTCCAGATTGCAGCTGTTTCAGTGGAAAGCCCATTCTGAATTTTCACCTCCCACAGCGGCCTCCTGTTTCTCTCCCTGGGGCTCCCCCCATTTGCTTCCCATTGGGCGACCTCATTAGCTCTACAGGGGGAAGATGAACGGTCAGTGTTTCCCTGTTTCCTTCTTCCTTACCTTTCTTCCTTCTTGCTTTTTTCTTTTCTTTCTTTAATAAATGGATTCTTTAAGATCACAAAGCTTTCTCAAGCGTTTTCATTAACTTAAAAATGGATTTCAAGTGCGTGTTCTTATTCCCTTAACATGATGAGCAAAATCACAGCTTTTATAAATAAAGAAATAGCAAGGCCGAATTTTTTCAAATCTGAAGCCAACCCTGACCTATCTAATCCACATAGATTAGGCACCATATAAAGCCTAATCTGATGTGGTCTAGATTGGGACATAACCAAGACTGATTTCTATCAAGGGAAATAAATTAAGGAAAATTACCTTAAAAGTTGTGTTCTTACCTCCTTTGTATTAACACCCTGGTCCTGCCTGTCTTATTTCATCTTCTCTTAGCTCTTCCATTGGCTGCACTCCAGATAACAGTGTGTTTCTATTGGCTTCCTCCTTCCGATCTCTCCTTTGATTCTATGCCTTAAAATGTCAAAAGAGTAGAGAATTATCTCGCATTGACTCTTACTATATGCAGTAACTTTACATGCGTTATCCCATTTTATCTTCATTCCCGTGGAGTAAATACTCTTCACTCCACTTTATAAGGGAGGAATTTAAGATTCAGGGCGTTTAAGGTCCCACTGTATCCTACAAATCTGGATCCAGATTTCTCGAATTCCAAAGGTTGTGATTGTTTACTCCATACTATGTTGTCCTCCAACTGTGTCATTTTGTTCGAATCCATCAGAGTTCTCTCAAAGCTTCTGTGCTTGAGCATCAGCGTGTCCTAGACAAGGCGGCACCTTGGCCCGCGGCTCCCTGGGCACCACACCCACATCGTCTGGAAGGTCGGGTCTGTCTTATATTCTCTGGCTTAATGGGCTTCCACCGAAGCATTTTGTTGAAGTTTGAAGATAAAGCCACAAGAAAAAGCTTCATAGTTTCTTATTACTTACTAATCTATCTTAAACATCTTATATCTCACTTTCAAAAATACATATATATATTTATTTAATTTTTGCACAGGGTCTTGCTCTGTTGCCCGGGCTAGAGTGCCGTGGCATCATCATAGCTCACAGCAACCTCAAACACCTGGGCTCAAGCGATCCTCCTGCCTCAGCCTCCAAGTAGCTGCAAGAAGGTATGCATCACGACACCCGGCTAATTTTTCTATTTTTTGTAGAGACGAGGTCTCGTTCTTGCTCAGGCTGGTCTCAAACTCCTGGCCTCAAGCGATCCTCCTGCTTTGGCCTCCCAGAGCACTACAATTACAGGCATGAGCCACCACGCCCGGCCTAAATACCCATAATTTAAATCCATCCACCCTCCTTCTC